GCTGAACGCGACGTGGTCCCCCGGGGGGGAGCCGGCAGGGGAACGGAGAGCAGTGGAACAGCGGGTGCAGTCCAGGGAGGTCGGGCGCTTGGTGAACAGTCTGAGGCGCCAACGTCAGTTTCTTCCTTTGACAAACGTGCTGTGGTGACGGCCTAAGATGTTGACAACAGGAAACTGGGTGAGGGTATATGGGAACCCGGGTATTAACTGTAACTTTCCTGCCAATCTAAACTTAAACTAGGAGGTGAACTGGGGCAGGCAGGCCTCACCCAAGGGCATTCAAGTCCAATTTTTAAAATACATGTATTAAAAAGCATTTGGGGGGGGGTTAGTATTTTTAAGTGCATTTTGGTTAAATGTGAAAGATTAAGTGGAGGCAGGGTTTCTAATACTTCTAATCGGGAAGGTTTAAAAGGAAAGAAAGAAAAACCTATCCCCGAATTTAAGTGAATGGTCAGGCCTTAAATATTAAAGAATCTCCAAAACTCCTCCTAGCTAAATGCACATTGACATTCCACAGATCTGTATGTACCCTCTTTCTTAAAATGTATACTTCAAAACTCTAACAAAGCTCTCTTAACCACATGTAAGTAAAAAACTCTTCTAAAAATACATCTTCATGCTGTGTATAGACTGTTTCCTAGATTTGGGTATCAGACCAGCACACAAAAGGGCAAGGCCTTCAGACAGAAGATAAAGTAGTGTTTTCACCACAAACTTAATCCTCTAAAATCAGTTATTTGAGGAAGAAAGAAGGAAGATTATTCAATTCCACTCACCGCCTCCACTCTCCAGCCCAGAAAAGAAACCAGGGAGACATCCTGGAATATGTGCACAACAGAAATGACCCCCCGAGACCCCAGGAAAAAAAAAGGGATTCCTTCAGCAAAAGGGCACACATGCAAATTGTCAGGTCTCTGGGGGAAAAATAGCTTAGTTTGTACACAAGGTGGAGGACCAGCTGGCAAAAGCCCAAAATATCTGGTCTTTCACAGTCTCTGTAGAAAAATATTCTTTACAATAATGTGAGCATAAGTGAAACCTGATTACAAAAACCCTAACGAAGTCTTTGACTCATACATTTATTAAATCGAATATAGCTCAAAATTCTTAAAGTAAGGACCATTGGCTAGCCATCTTTAACATACAGAGACTCTGCCGTGCTGTTTTGCTGCGATGGAATTTAACCTGCATGTGGCTGCAGGAAATGTCCAGCATAAAGGGCATTTCTCCCACCCAAGTACTAACCAGGCCTGACCCCGCGCTCAGCATCCGCAATCCATCCGCAATCCGCTGAGATTGGGCGCATTTAAATGGCTTTTCTTAAACCCTAAATTAGTAAGGAGAAAGAATTTAGACAAAAGAGGAAATTGGGATCTCCAGTTGTCTTGGAGAAGGAAGCAAGAAATTGTACCACAGTTGTTAGGCTATTTGACCCCCAACAAATTCAAATTCTGTACACTTCCATGCAAATTCAGATGCTCATAATGAAATATTTCAGAGAAACGCTTTCAAATTCCATCTTCTGAAGTCAGTCTGTTTCTGCAGGGCGATATGTTCCACAAGTCAAAGATAAAGTTACTACAATCTGAAAACCAGGTTCAAACATGGCGCAAGTACAAATTACAGTGAATTGTGGAATGGAAAATGCTTCCACTGGGGAGCTGGGCCTCTCCCCCAAAATCAGAAAGGGCAATTTCCCTCTGGGTTCCTAGTGAAACCACATCCCCAGTTTCCACACGAATGATGGTTTTTGAAGAAACGGAGTGATGAGAACATTAATGGGGGTGCATCAAGAGACAAAATTGTGTGTGTCCTGATTGCAACTTCATAAAAAAACAGGCACCATGACAAAAGACCAAACCGCTGAACTTAAAAAAAAAAATGCTAGCTGTTCATTCATACTGTGAGATTATGACTCCTTTTCTTCTTTCTCTTCCACACTTTCTGTAAAATTGTTATTTTTTTAATATAACTTTAAAAACTATCAATGCATCATTTATGAATAACCTCTCTGGACTCAAAGTTCGGGTAAGTCAATGCTAAGCTCTTAAATTTACCCCAGGAACACTGTCAATTCTAAAGCTCCACGGGCTAAGTAGCTTAAATTGTCCATCACCATATTCTCTGACGTTAACAACACAATTAAAGAAGAAAGAGATAAAGAAGAAAGTACCTCAGGCTTTCAGGATCATGGTGAGTTAACTTCTACCTACTAGGAGGTGAGCAGGAAATCACTACAGACACGTGCTATTCTGTCCATGCCTTAAACCTATGATTACACACAGTTCTTCTACTGAAATAAATAAGTTGAAGGGACAACTTCAATAGCTATGGAAGTGTTAGCACAGCTGCCCAGAGTGCCAATGCGTGTTCAAATAAGATAAAATTTTGAGGACTCAGGCAAGTACCGCTTTAAGCTCAAATAACAACTTTATGTAAGCAAACACCAATCAAGTGCAGAACAGGCCATGGGCGGCCAAATGAGCAGCAAAGACATCACAAACACATCTGTGCTAAAGAAAGACAGAGGGAAGGATGTCTATTTTCCTGATGAGATGGATCTCCTCACTCACAGGGCTATTTTCACTGTAGCAAAAGACAAGTCATAGTACTAAGACTCCAGGATTTCTTCATGCGGACTTCCTTTTTTTGCACCGTCACTATAGCTTTGGGGAGATTCATCTTAGGTGGGAGAATTTTAAGTCCCTGATAGGCACCACCCTATTCTCAGAATACACCTTACATACACCTGTAGTCAGTGGGGACGGTCAATGGCCACAATGCATGCACTATTTATGTCCTTGAAAATTAACTTGGGCTGGAAATACCTCTGGCTCCCTCTTTCTCAGTGGTTCTCCTTTTACTGTCCTCAGCCCTGGACATGTCTGTGCCTCCTCCAAAGCTTTGCTGAGACTCTTCTGCAAATGTTGGAATGCTGCCCACATGTTCACATGTCCCTCTGCCAAATGTGCCCAGGCCTCAGGTTTGCTACTAAACTTTCCTTGTTAACCTGCCCCATGCTCATAGCAACCTCCCTTTCATTCCTCCCAACCCCCTTTCAGGCCTTAGTGAATAATGACTCTTTCCCCTGTGTTTTCACTTTCCACCCACAGCATAAACCCCTCAGGACCAGGAGCCATTTCTTCTGTATCCTTTCCAGGACAAGGGTAGCGCTTGATTTCCCCACAGCCAGTCTATAAAAGGGACTGAAGGAACAAAGGGAAATTTACTCACCAAAGAGAGTGAATTACTTCAGGCTAGAGTTTTAGAGACTTAACAAATTGATCCTCCATCTCAAATCAATCACCAAGTCACTTAATCCACAGAAACATTACAACAATACTTTTTCAAATGTGAATAAAATCATCTATTACTAATGCCTTAAAGTAACAGGAAAGAGGGAAGATGGGCATCTCCCGTAGTAGATCTACCATAAGTGTCTCCTAGAGTCTGGTACACATTAGATCCCAAAGCAAGCGCTGGCTGAGAGGAAAGCCAAGTGCAACATGGGTGTTATTCTACGCCAGGTAGAGCTGGGTTCTGATCCAACTATGATAAAACCAAACACAGTGGCAGAATCCCAGATACAAGCTCTCTTTACAGGGATCCAGGTTAGTCCTATTGTAAAAGAGCCACCCTGAGAAGGCTCAAGGTTGGGGGGTGGAGAACGGATAGGAAAGTGGGGCACACATTAATGCAAACCATGGTTTTCCTTAAAAGGGTCCCCGGAGAACTGTAGGGCCTACCTTCCTTCCAGGCAGCCCCTGAACCAGCACCAAGGCTAGGGGCGGGGTTTTTCCCCCGTGGGAAGACTGGTAGGAGAGTCTAACCTGATGAGTTAGACAGGAAGCGCTTGTAGCTTCCAGGAACTGGATTTCCCAATGACCAAAGTATAGTCCAACAGTAAATGACATCAGCCCCACAATTCCAAAACACAAAAGCGACTAGAAAACTAGTGAAGGTCCAACTGCCCTGATCCCTGGATATGGCCCTTCCAGGATTCACCATTTCCCCAACACCTATCCTCTCTGATCTGATCAGGAGCTCCTGGCATAACACCCAACCCACTGCCCAGATCCACATGTGACCTGGAATGCTGAGGGGAGGGCACCTGCCAACTTGGCAGGAGGGGCAATGTCCACCTCTGCCACAGGTTCCCCTGCCTGTGCCACCAGGACCCATCCGGCACCGGCGGTGGACGGGGTCTGGGTAGACTCCAGTGCTCATAGGGGTCCAATCTTACTCCAGGGGATGGTGCCTAGCGAGCCAAGGCTCCCTTCGAGCTGTGTCCCGATTTTCACCTCCTCGTGCTTCCCTTGGCCCTGACGTGTCCTTATAGGCACCCACTGAAGGCGGTCCTTAATTCTGCGTGGATCCCCTGGGGCTGGGGCAAAAACGTGGATGCCGTGGACCCTAGAAGCCTAAATTTGGGACCTGCGTCCGGAAATTCGTTGGGTTTTGCTGTTTGTTTTGGTTTTGTTACTGAATTCCCGGATGATTCTGAAAATCTCAACTTTAAGGTCGCAGCCACCAGAGCCAATTGCAACGTTCCTGAAAATTCTCGATACGTCTTTTCCCGTAAGGGGACACCGCGTACCCTGAGGAGAGCGCTTTCAGGTTGGGGCCGTGGGACCCCATCGCGCGCGATCCGCGGACGATGGGCTCGCTCGGGGGCGCATGATCTGAACCCAGCCTGTCCCACGGCCGAGACAAGCGCTGGGAGGCTGGAAACGGCCCCGAGCCGGCCCCAGGAGAAAGTTCTCGGCCGGACCCCTGCTCCCTCCACCCCGTGTCGAACCGCAGGACCCGCCAGGGCCATCGGCCGCCACGACCAGCGCGATGCCCCGGGTCTCCCGGCCTCGGCTGCTCCCGAGCCCCGCGCAGGTGCTCGCGCTGCAGGGACCCGGCTCCCGGCCCGAGGCGCCCCTCGGGTCCCGCCCCCGCGGCTGCCGCCGCGCCCCCCATTAGCGCCCCGGCCGCCAGCGCGCTGCACTCACCGCCGCTCGCGCCGCCACTCGAGCCGGTAGGTCTGAGCCGGTAGGTCTGAGCCAGCCTCGCAGGCGGGAGGGCTGGACCGCTGCGGGGGCGGGGGCGGGGGCGGGGGCTGGACCTACAGGGCGGAGGCGCGCAGCCGGGGCTTCCGGTTCTCCCCCCAACCGCTGCTCTGCGCGCAGCCAGGACCACGGGGCCACACCTCCCGCCCGTTCCCGGCCGACCCGCCCCGATCCCCGGCGAGAGACCTTCTACGCTCCGAACTCTGCCGTTCCCCTTCACCTCTCTGGTTTCCCACTATCCAGATTACACCCCGGACTTAGACACTCCTGAAACCCTCAGTTTCAGCCCAGGCCCCTCGTGCTGACCAAGGAGCACCCTCCCCCGACCGACTCCTCCACCCTGGCCTCTCCCCTTTCGGATTCTGCTCCTGCACCTCTGTGCCGGCCTCCTGCCCCGGCCATCCCTAATCCTCCTGATTTTGCCCCCGGCCACTCCCCTTGACCCCCCCTCCTTTGGCATTCCTTTCGGGGTGCCAGAAGAGCTGGATGTCCATGGGCACAAGAATGAATAGGAGCCCTACCTCACACCGCATACAGAATTTAACAAACGGGAAAAACTATAAAACTTGAAGAAGAAAACAAAAGTGTAAATCTTCATAACCTTGATTAGGCAATGGTTTCTTAAATGTGACACCAAAAGCACAAGCAACAAAAGAAAAAACATAGTTAAACTAAGCTTCATCAAAATTAAAAAACCTAAGGACACTCAAGAGCGTAAAGACAACCCACAAAAAGGGAGAAAATATTTGCAAATAATATATTTGATTGCAATCAAATTACTCAACCCAGATTTTAGTAAAGAACTCTTAAAACTCAACAACAAAAACACAAGCAACCCAATTTTTTGAATGGGCATTGGGATGATGAAAATATTCTTGAAAAGGCAAAACTATAGAAACAGTAAAAAGATTAGTGATTGTCAGGGATTGGAAGAAGCCGGGAGGGGGAATCAGAGACAGGTGAATGGGCAGAACCAAGAAGAGTTTTAGGACAGTGAAAATACTGTTGGGTACTTGTGTCATTATATAGTTTTGAACAAGATTGAACTCTAATTAAAAATATAGACTTTGTGGGATAGTGATGTGTCAAAGTCAATGTCGGATCATCAGTTGTAACAAAAGTGCCACTCTGGTGGGGATCTTGATAATACGGGAGGCTGTGATGTGGGAAATTTCTGTACCTTCTGCTTAAGTTTTCTGTGACCCTAAAACTGTTTCTTTTTAATTATCTTTTTAGAAAAGAAGTTCTGGGGATAGATAGTGGGATAGTTTCACAATATTGTGAAAGCACTTAATGCCACTGAAATGTATACTTAAAAATAGCTGAAATGGTAAATATTATGTTGTGTATATTTTTACCACAAAACAATAAAATTAAGTTAAATTAAAAATGGACCAAGGACTTGAATAGACATTTCTTCAAAGAAGTTATAAAAATGGCCAACCAGCACATGAAAAAAATGCTCAACATCATGAGTCATCAGGAAAATGCAAATAAAAACTACAATGAGATAACACCTCATACCCACTATGGTGGTCATAAAAAATTTTTTTAATGGAAATAGCAAGTGATGGGAAGGATGAGAAGAAATTGAAACCCTCATGCACTGCTGGTGGAAATATAAAATGGTGTAGTTAGGCATATTCACAAAAGAATTGAAAACAGGTATTCAAACAAAAATTTGTACGGGAGTATTACACATCAGCATTATTCACAATAGCCAAAGGTGGAAATAACCCAAATGTCTATCAACTGATTAATGGATAAACAAAATGTGGTATATCCGTATGATGAAATAGCAACACTCCAATCCACATGGAAATTTATATCCATAAAAGGGAAGTAAGTACTGAAACATGTTACGTGGATCAACCTTAAAATTATGCTAAATGAAAGAAGCCAGGCACAAGAGGTCACATGTCATATGATTCCATCGACATGAAATTTGGAGAACAGCGAACTCCGTAGAGACAGAAGACTGATCGGCGGTTGCCAGGGGCTGGAAGGAGTGAAGAGTGACTGCTAATGGATGTGGGGCTTCTTTTTGGGGTGCTAAAAACAGTCTGGAAGCTCATAACAGTGGTGGTTGCACGATATTTTGAATGTACTAAATGCCACTGAATGGTAGAGTTTAAAGTCATTAACATGTTAGACTGTGTATTATGTGAATTTTGTCCCAGTTTAAAAAAAGAGTAAACTAGGCATCTCATGTATGCTCTGTTAGGACACAGAAGGAGGTGGTGCCACGCAGTTTTACATGACATCTGTGACTAGTTTCTCTTCCCCCTGAAGACTTTGCAGCTGTGTTCTAACCTGAAAGGACCCAGAACAAGAGCTAGTAAGTAGACGAACATACGCCACTATCTTGGAATAACAGGGACCAGACAGAAAGGGAGAGATTTCCTCTGCATGGGACTTCCTCATGCTGTGTATTTAAGAATGACAGCGGCTAGGGAAGAAAAACAAGTTGCCTAAAAAAAAATACAGAATATAATACATTTTTGTTAAAAAGAAAAACATACCCACCCACAAAAAGGAAAAACACTCATATACACAAAAAAGTCATACTTTTTCAAGGATAAAGAACCTATGAAAGGTTGTCTCTGAATGATGAAAATTAGAATTTTTTTCTCCTTTTGTCGCTCTCCATTTTCAACAACAAACACAAATTGCTTTCAAAAAACTAATTTAAAAAAAAAAACAACAAAAACCTCAATTGCCAGAAATAGCCTCCACTGACTGGCCTGTTATTTATAACAACGAATTCTGGTAACTCGTATTTCCATAACACCTTTTCCATTCCCAAAACACATTTCCCACACACATCACACAATTCATCCTCACAAAAGCCCTGTGCAGCAGAGATTCTTACTGCTGAGTTATACAGATGGGGAAACTTAGGCTGGGGACTGAGAGACTTGCCCAAGTTTGCACCCCAGCCCCGTGCCCTGATCCTGGCTCACGGTCCTTGCTGGGACCACGGCTCTGTATGCTCAGGGGCAGAGGAATGCCTTGGAGGAGTTGCCAAATGTAGCAAGGAAAAACACACATACCCAGTTAAATTTGAATTTTAAATAAATAGCAAGTGATTGTTTATTGTAAGTATGGCCCAAATATTGCACACCTGTAATATATTCCCAATATGGCACAGGACATACTGAAACTTAAAAAAAAACAAAAAAACAAAAAACAAACCTCATTGTTTGTTTAAATTTTTTATTTAACTGAGTGTTCTCTATTCTCTCTGGGACTGTCACCTGTCTGGCCTGCTTCTGGCCAGGGCAGGAGTCCAAGTCAGTCCCTGGTCTCTGCCTGTGGGCTAAGGCGCTTACAGCCAGTGCCCGAGTGGAGGCCCAGGTGAGCTCCCGGGGCCCATAATTACCTGGTCAGCCTTTCCCCTGGAGGTGTGGGAGCCTGACCTGGAACTGGCTGCACCTCCGTCTTCGCCAGGCCCACCGGAGCAGCAGGTGAGGTCTTTTCTGGTCTGCTCAGAGAGAGGGCCTGGTTACCTGTTTCGGGCGCACTAAAACGACAGGGAAAATGTGACCTCAGGATGAGAGGCCTGACCTCTTTAATAACAACACCCAGATGTCAGGCTGCATGCCTCTGTTTCTACTAAATAATTCATACACCGGCCACAGCAATCAGCAAGGGACGCAGGAGGAACACCCAATACAGACTGACGATAACGACAACGACAACGAGGATAGTGATGGGAAACACTAGCTGGCTTCCCACCAGGGTGCCCAACCCTGAATAAAGTGCTTTTACATTCATTATCTTATTTTCATCCTTCCAAAAAGCCTCCTATAGGTGAGGTAACTGGGGTCACACAGAGAGAAGGTGACTGAAGATGCATTTGCACTAGGTCTGGCTGACTCCTGAGGCTGTCGAACAGTCTCTCCATTCCCTCAGCTGATATGTCCTGGGCGCCAGGACTGTTCCGGGGTGAGGACCAGGGTACTAAAGTACAAGACAAGGTCCTGACTCCCCTGGAGTTTAAGTTCAGATTGCGAGCATGGGAGACAGATAATAAATAGATAATAAGTTAAGTGCTCTATGACTTAGCAATCATTGCTGGCTCCTTGTAGCCTCTGAGAAATACAGAAGAGCTTCGTGGCACAGAAGAGCTTCATCCTCTGAGATCCATTCCACAGCCCTGGGCGAGGAGGGGAGATGGTGTGGGTGGAGCAGCATCCCAGAATCCTATTTTTTTTACAAGCAGTCCGATGGTACACTGGTCTCCTAACAGCTCTATGATGGGAGTATTATAGCTTCATTTTGCAGATGTAGTAATTAAGACCCAGAGAGGTTAAGCAAGTTGCCAAAGGTCACATAGCTAGTAATGGTAGCAACAGCATAGGGACCCAAGTTGCCTGGCTCCAAGTCTGTGTTTAGTCACCATTCCATGGAGAACATCTTGGAGCTTAGAGCCTTCTAGATCACACAAACCTGTGTCTTTCAGGCTGTTGAACCTCAGAGCATTTCCCTTCAATGCAGTCTCCACATAGCCCCAACCCACAAAACAGAAATAAACAGTGTCTGTGTGAGTTGAAGCAAACCCCAGCCTGAAAGAAGTCAGTCTGTCAACTTCCCTGCTCCAGCCCAGGTCTCCATGCTGATTCCTTCTCTCATTCAGGGCACACACGGAGGCCCTCTGTCCCTTGTACCATTGTCTCTCCAGGTGCCCTGGACACAGGTGCCACCCTCCCATCTGGCTTACAAAGGGACTTCCTGGTCTGGGGTTTTCTCCCAGGCACACCATTGCTAGGCTGTCCCTGTGTTTTCTGGAATTCGAACCTGAACACCAGTGTTTGTCTATCAGTTCTAGGTTGCCTGGAATCAGCTGCTGAACTTGATTCAAGGTCTATTTCTCTTCCAGCCAGAAGGACAAGTGGAGGCCAGGGGCTGTGTGTGTGGGTCCAGGGAAGCCTGAAATAGCCCAATGTCCAGAGGGTCTGACCTGGGCTTAGGGGTGAGTGGTGG